GGGGGCCAGAGGGGGCCACATCGGGGATTTGCCCCGCCATAGCCCCCTCTCCAGCCCCCTCATAGCCCCCTCTGGCCCCGCCATAGCCCCCTCATGAGGCGGGGCCATGAGGGGGCCAGAGGGGGCTGGTGCTGGCAGGGGCATTTGGCAAGAAGGTCTACCAGGCACAAAAATGTATTCTAGAAATCAGCATACTCATATCGTTGTAGGCGACTAATATAACCTAGAAGCTGGGGCACCGAAGATCAGTTTTATGAATAGTTAGTGTATTATGCCAGTCCTGAGTGTAACTATATTAGAAGAAAAAAACTGTGAGTAATGAGCAAGACACTTCGGCGCGCGTTTCGAATTTGGTTTCAAATTTTCGTCCTCCGAGGGGTTAATATTCTTCGAGATTTCCGCACTCTGGATGCTCCTGCAGTCAAACGGATTTTAGAAAATTGACTCACAGACAGCAATATTCGCATCGTCATCAATTTACGACACCACCTTTGCAGGACGTGGACTTCGACACTACCAGTTCTGCATACGAGCCTAAAAAGACCAATCTTCCAGCAAACGAAACGCTTAGAACAAAGGCTGAGTCTCACTTCGAAATTAGACTTTAGCTGTACCTTTGCTTCAAAGCATTAGCTTAAATTTCTGTTAACTGTAGTACCGTTAAATTCGACTAGGTTTCTGTTGTCTGAAGTCTCGAAGCATTCGCTTAGATTTCCGTTGCCTAAAGCTTCCCTGACATCTGAAAGCCTTAGGCCTTCTTTTGATTGTGTCTGTCTTCTGCTACCAACCTTTCGGCCGTTTTTGTATCCTTAACTTTGGCGCATTGAGACATGGGAAATGTAGAAGTGTACGATCCATCAGTCCCGCGGGATGAAAAGGGGGCGCGGAGAGCGGGAATCGAACCTCCGACCATCGCCCCACGAGGCGAACGCCTAGACCCCTCGGCCATCGGCACCGGTAGACGGCCTCAAAGAATATTAATTGCATTCGTCCCACGGTTGGGGAATGTGTCGGATTTTGCCATGAAAATAGTGCACTAGCAACTCCATGCGGACCAGCGTCGATTCACGTCCGGCAGGGAGGATCTAACGAACGCAGTACGCCAGAAGTGGTTCAAAACAGGACGGAGGTGGCCCGCAACGCAAATTATCCCGGGAAATTCGCCACGCCTACACAAGATTTTCTACCAGACGATGAACCTTCAAATTGTGGTTCGCGGTGTAAATATTGTCGAGATCTCGCGCTAAACATTACGTCGTTGGAGACGAACATGAACCTCCTTATAGATCTCATTGCATTGTTACTAAAGTATGATAAATTCAAGTCAATTGATGAATTTAGCAGCAGCCAACAGATAGTTTCGAAACTGACAGAGTTGACTAACAGCAACCCACTAGTAGAGGGATCATCGTTTCAGGAGATCGCTGGCTGCAGAAATAAACAGAGTGCTAAGAGAAAAGGTAAACGGAAACATGAACATACAGCCTCACCCTCACCAAGAGCGATGATAACCGACACTCCAAAATCGCAAACCAAGTTGCGAAGTGATAATGGCAGTACACTCTCATCATTGATAACTACCCAGCTGAAGAACAATGACCAGCTCACTGGCAGAGTAGAAGCTGTCCGATCTCCACCACAGAAGAAGGTAAAAGGATTCGACATAGAAAAGACTACCGCATGGACGGAAACCTCGGAGGAAATCACGGAGAATATGACAAGGCATGATATTAATCCGCCGCAGAAGAGCAGAAAGCAGACGCTCACTGCCCCCCGCAATGTGACCGAGGAGAACCAAGGAATTTATAATAAGACTCAGACCGTTCACATGCAACTGAGGTCACATCAAAAGAAGCAGTTAAATCAAAGGGGACTGACGACTGAAAAGAGAGAGACGGAAATCGGACGACTTCGGAGTACCCGAAGAAAGGAACTTCCTGGGGTGGAAAAGCAGAGCTCGTCTGAGCAATCGACAGAAACCTCCAGCGCCAGCGTAGACACAGACGCGGCAAATGCGAATATCCTCTGTATTGACATAAAAGACAGGAGCAGTATTGCCCCAAACTCGATACCATTAGCTGCAGAAAAGATCCCTGGAGTGGATGGCAACCAGAATGTCATCATGAATGGTTCGCCAGGAACTCCCAAGTCACCAACATCATGCAACCAAGACCGGCCGCTCCGAGAACAGTGCCTAGTAATACAGGGACTTCAGGAACCTCAAGCAGATACACCTAAAGGACGCGTATTAACTGATCTCGGCTTGTTCCAAGGTCTTCTAAACACACTGCTTCAACCCAACGAAGAAATTTCCGTGTTGAAAGCCTTCAGACTCGGAAAGCGCTCTACTGAACCCGCTATTCCACCGCATCCTAGGCCCCTTAACATTGTTCTGAGTTGCAAAGAGCATGTTGATCTCATCCTCTCAAGACGTTTTAGGTTAAAATATTCCCACCAAGGAGTTTTTTTCAGTCGGATTACACACCACCGGAGCGGATAAAACGCCGACAGTTAGTTCAGGAGTTAAGGCTGCGACAAACGAATGGCGAACAAGGCCTGGTTATCTACAACAACTGCATAATCGAGCGACCGTCCGCTTCATAGGGACACGGCCCGTGCGTATGTCGCCACAGCCTAGACAATTGACAAAGGCGGCGTCATAGCCGGCTTACCAAAGAAAAAAAAGCTAAAATGCTTATATTACAATGCGCAAAGTCTGCTATCTAAATTAGATGAGCTTAAGATCTACGTTAACCAAACCTTACCCGATGTTATATCCATAACTGAAACGTGGCTGTCCGCGATCGTAGACGATCGCGAAGTAGCTTTATCTGGTTATCACTTGTTCAGAAAGGACAGGTTGGGACGTCAAGGTGGAGGTGTGCTCGTGTATGTCAAATATGGCCTTTTTGCGTCAGAAAAAGAGGGACAGCTCGCGCGCACAACTGAAACGATTTGGCTCACCGTCAAAACGCCGGGGTCACAACCTCTCGAGATCCTGACGGTCTACCGCCCACCGAGGAACGACCCGCAATCAGACAGTAGTCTACTAGAGGAATTAGAAGCGATTTCGCTCCGACCCAATGTCATGATTATGGGCGACTTTAACGCTCCGAATATCGACTGGAATCTGACTTCTGCCCCGGGCTCAGAATTTAACTTTGATCGCCGCCTCCTAAAATCTGTGCAAAGATCGCATCTCACACAACACGTCTTATCCCCAACCAGACTACGTGAAGGACAACTAGCTAACTGCCTAGACCTTGTATTGACAAAGGCACCGGAAAGCGTTGATGTTGTAAACTGTCTACCCCCTTTCGGAAAAAGCGACCATGTAGTCCTACAGTGGGAGTATTCTCTCTTCTCTGTACCCGATCAAAGGGTCGTGATTAGACGCAACATATGGCGTGGTGACTTCAACCAAATGCGTCTCGACATGCGTCGTAGAGACTGGAAAGCAGCATTTACGGGGTGTGTCCTCAAGGACTGGCTAGAACTCAAGGCCATACTGAATGAACTTATCATCAGATACTGCCCTATGTCGAAAAAGAAAATCACCAGCAGGCCCCGATGGCTTAAAGATTCACTAAAAATTGAAGTAAACCGTAAGCAAAAGCTGTGGAAAGCATATCTTAGGGACAAGACAACTGAATCAAGAAATAGGTATAAGGCTCAGCGGAATAGAGTAAAGTGCCTTGTTTACAAAGCCCGCCAAGACTTCGAGGGTAACCTTTTAAACTGTGCAGGAGAAAACCCAAAGCTTTTCTTCAACTACATAAGACAAAGTACTCGCAACAGGGATCCCATCCCTATGCTAAAAACTGATGATGGCGTTGAACTTTACAAAGACGACGAAAAGGCTGAGCATCTGTCCAGGTTCTTTCAGTCGGTCTTTACGAGAGAAGTTGCTGTACCCACTGATCACTGTAATGTGGACAATGTCCCGACAATTGACTCAGTGGTTCTCACAAAACCTATTGTTCAACAGGAATTACTGAAGCTAAACGAAGGGACTTCGCCCGGTCCTGACGAAATACCGGCAAACTTGTTGAAGGAATTAGCCACAGAATTGGCAGAACCTCTGAGCGTCCTCTGCCAAGCCTCTCTTGATGCAGGCAGACTGCCTCCTGAGTGGAAGACTGCGTGGATTTCACCGATTCATAAAAATG